GAAGAGGGCCGTACACCTCCCACATACAGAACTTAAGAGAATGATTAGAAAAGGTCTACGAATTCGCTCGGGAAGCTTTGAAAGTCAGCAGCGATAAAGCAAAAGCTAGAATCGACATGTATGTTACAATCTAGAGCGCCGAAAAGTACTTTGTCAGAAACTGCAACGGAACTGGGAAGGCCCTACGACTCAAGAAAATCAACGACCCTACCGCATTCAGTTGTCACCGAGAAGTATGTCCAACGTACTTCACATTGAACAGTTAGCGCCATACTGTGGTACAGATTCTCCTCGTTGGCTCCAACCAGGTCTCAGTAATCAAGTTATTCGGGACCATATGTCACGGGCCTTTCGGTCGTGATGGAATCACTTTAAATAGTTACTCTCTTGCCTTAAACTTGGCTTTGTAGCCCTTAACTGTATAAGGGTTTTACTCTTGTTAGAACCTAACACGTCCTTGAAAAGGGCTTAAGAAAACACAGTGTTCTCAAAACAAATATAATATAATTTAAAACGATTACACAAAATATGTACTAACTCGACATACACAAAAAGGTAGGTATAAGATCGAGATCTTCGGTGTCCCGATTTGTTGGTTGTAGTACTGGGTTTCGTGAAAGGCAGTGGGCATCTCCATGTTTTCTTCCACTTTTATGTACAATTTCGTAATCATATGCTGATAACTTTAGAGCCCACCGAGCTAATCTTCCAGTAGGATCTTTCAGAGTTTTTAACCAGCACAAGGCATGATGATCGCTAACGATTTTTACTGGTTTGCCGCATATGAGATGTCTTAGATACCCTAAAGCCCACATTTCACTTAGTCCCTCTAGTTCTGTAATTGTGTAGTTTTTTCTGCATTTGACAGACTTCTGCTGATATATACAATTAGGTGTAATATTCCTTCTTCGTTGTATAGTCGAATTTATAGATATATAACGTTGAATTAAAAATAAATTGAGTTACCAAAAACCAGTGTAACAATATTATTTTGCAGATAATTTGTGTCCATTGCTGTATATGAGGAGATAAATACCCGTTTTCTATCAACTATATTGTTAGCACTTGTTCTGAGACTAATTTGATTTTAAAAAGTGCACGTTTTATAGACTGACAACAGAACTAACTTATCAAGCTCTCAGCCAATTGATACCTACGCCAGTGGCACTGTCTCAGACCAAATGTAACCACCTCTAATAACTAGGAGGATGTAGAAATTTATATACTCGATTTTCTTAATTATATGCTTAATTGACTTTGCAGAATTTACTGCTGAGAGTCAGGCAAGGTTATCTCGATTCACTCTACTTTAATTATAAGGAGTAGCGGAAGTTGATTTATTAAGTGATTGGTGGTCGGTTTTGATTTTGTTTTTGGTCTTTTTGACTTGTTTTCGACTTTTAAATTAGTGTTTTTAAATAAAGATTTGATAGATTGATCGCATATCCACATTATACACCTTGCAAACGAAAGACTGGTTGATTTGAGCGATTGTTTATGGTAGCACAGAGATTTACAATGATAGCACAAAACGGTGTTATTAAATTAAATTAAAGCTAAGTTAAGCAAGTAATAAATCGGCATATAATCAACAAATCAAAATGTCCCAAACGGTTTATAGTAAATGTCTTTTAAGTTTTATATCGTCAGTGTAGATCGTACAATATGGTCAAATATTGCAGAACGTTTCAATAAGTGTGGTTGAAATTATATTCGTGAATCAATCGAAGGAACCTGTTCAAAATGCCAAATTGTTTGCGCGTTTGGGAAGTCAGGAAAAGGTCCGAAAAAGAATGTCCAATTCCAATGTCGATACATTGTAGTTTATTTAGATTGGGCACAATTATCAGAACTTGTATCGGGATTTGTTGAGAAACAATATCGAACACTTGTATCTGCTGAGATATTTGTACAGAAACACATGTGGTAAGTATGAGTAACTCCAGGATATCTGACGAAACTAAACCGTATAAATCATTTTCCTTTGATTCCTTATAGAAAACGAAATCATGAAAGTCATAAATAGGTTTAAAAATAAAAAGCCCATTTATTTTTGATGATCTACTGTCTATTTTCAGATAATGTCATCCTCGGCTAGTTCTTCATCTTTTACAATTAATAAACTATTCTGGATGTAATGGAAAATTTCCAGATATATTGAAAATATCAAAAGTAGTGCCCATTTATAAAAAAGGAACCAAGTTCTCTCTAGTTATAACTGTGATTAGTGTAGTCGCAAAAATATTTTGAAAAATCAATTTTTTAATAAATCTTGCCTTATTTAAATGTTAGTAATGCTATTACTGAAAATCAGCATGGATTTCGGCAAGGACATTCATAAGAAACTGCAGCAATCACGGAGATTATTTTAAATTTTCATGTTTTAGGGTCCCTAGATTACGAAAAACATGTTTCCCCATTTCGTCGGTCTGTCTGTTGGCGCGATATCTTAAAAATGGCTTTAGAGAAAAACTTCAAATTTTGGGTACAGATAAGGTTTCTTTCCTGCTCAAAACCAGTTATGCTACCAGTCAATTATATACAGGGTGAGCAGTTTAAAAAAAATATTTTATTTTTAAAAGTCGTCAGATTTCGACTAAAATTGGTATCTGAGTAGTTTAGAAGTCAAAGTTAACAGATCCTAAATAAAATGTTAAAAATTCAAAGTGGCGTTGAAAGGAATCGTATTTATTCAAATTTGTGTAACGACTTCTGATTCTTGACTTATTACAAATTGGCGCCCAACGAATATTTTCGAATTTAAATTACTGGTAGATTTCTTAAATTTTTTACAAATTGGCCTGGTTTCTTCTAGACATTTTTTTTGGGTATATTTTTCTGGAATTTTTTTGTCATATCAAGTGAAATATTATTTACAGTGCTTTTAAACCTATTTAAAGCTGGTATTCGATACTGTGAATTGTTTTCGAACATTCTTATCAATATTGAAATTTGACTCCTTTATAGGTTACTCCAACATGACAACAGACAATTTTTTGTGAGAAATTATTAAGGTTTATTGATTGATTTTTATCGATGAAAGTAATATATAGATTTCATTTTGAAATAATATTTATTTAACATTTATTAAATTTATTACCGAATTTTATCAGCATTACATTAGTAGGGACACCTGGTATATTTTTTTGTTTCGGAATAATTGAATATTCGTCGTGTCTTACAGTAAATTGTAGATAATTAATTAATACTAATTGAAGGTCATTATTGATTTGGTTTTTGTTCAATTAAACTTTTAATTGTATGGACTTGATTGTGTGCGAATATTTTAACTAGATTTATAGTTTTGGATATTACAAATACTTTATAATTTGAATTTAGGTTGTACCTTATTTGTTTATTTTTTAAAAAAAATATATTCTCAAATTTAAATATGAATTAGTATATGAAGTTAGTCTAGATGGAGTAGTAGTTCATAGATGAATTACGTAAAGTTTTTAGAAGTTTAAATGCACAGAAACAAGATGAACGTCTAAAATAAATAATTTTGCAGCAAAATTTGCACCTAAATATCTACCGTGTATCGTAAACAAAGTATTGTCGAAATTAGTATATAACTTGAAAGATTTGGATGGAAATTTTCATGTATCGGATCTTAAACAAAATTTACCTGACGACGAAAATAATGATGACACATCGGACAATGATGACTTAGGTGACAATAGTGACAATGAATAAGGTAAAAAATTATTTTTTTAATTTTTTTCTGGATGTCATCTATGGGAAATGTTGAATTTTTGCAGATAATAATGCGAGATCTGTTGTCAGCGATATCCTATGGCTACTGTGGATGCTGACTCTGTAATGTCCGATAATTGGGTTCGCGCAGAGTTATTTCGGAATTTGTTAATTTTTTTATAGTGACTACGTTGCATTTTATTAATGGTTTTTTATTGTCTGAATGTGGAAACTTTTTTTTGTCACTACCTTGTTGAAAATGATCATAATTATCTTGACCTTTAAATATTTCTGTGAATTATATCTTTATCTTTTTTCTAGTTTTCTCTAAATATGTATATTTTTTTCTTTTTGACAGAATTAGATAGCTTGGATTACATGTTTTAATTATCTAGTTCTGTATTTTACCTTTATCTAACTTGTGGTGAAATACGAGTTGTAAAAATTTACAGGAATCACATTTGTGTTGAGTTTTTTGCAGTAATAATTTATTTTGATATGAATATTAAATGTTAGTTAAATTCCTATGAATAAATTTGTTTCATATCTTATAATAATATTGTTATTTTTTTAATTCAAAAGTTTTGATTTGAATACCGCAATATTTTGTTGAATTTTTTCTGGGGCACAATGTGAAAAAATGCAGCTGGTATTCGAATTCTTTGATTTATTCGTAAATTCCAAATGGAACATTTTTAATTTCCATCACAAATAGCAGTTCAGAAATGGGACTACTAGGATCTTCACTTTTTCTCCTATACGTAAATGATATCCCACAGTACTTCAGGGACATGTTAATGTTACAACTATGATATTATCTGCAGTATCCTGCAGTATCAAAATTTAAAATGTAATGTTTTTCAAAAAATGGTGTAACTTAAAAAACCTTGTGCATTCCTTTTTCGTATGGTGAAAGAAGGTAGAAAAACCGTCTTTTAAAATAATAATGGTAAAAATATGCTGATAAATTCACAGTATATACTATAGTCCTTGGTATTGTCATAGATTGCAACTTCAATTTTTGGGAATGAATAAAAAAAACAGGAGAATTCAAGGACTAATCGATTATTTTTATGACTTATGACTAAATAATAATTTATATGACGCATAAGATGTGAAGTTTCTGTAGAACAAGGATACATTATATTTTCATTATTTTTATAAGAATTCCTTTACAATATGTAGCTTTACATTTTTAAACATTTCGAATGGATGACTTATTTTTTGCAATGGCAGGCAAATTAATAACAAGTGATTATACGAGTATAACCCATAACTTAATAATAATAACAAAGTTTACTTACAAAGTATCTTCTCTGTTGATTTTGCTCCCACTATCCACTGCCACACTGTGTCGAATTGGTGTTTTCCTAACCACATTTTCTGTAACATTAATTAATTTAATTAAAATTGTATTTTTAGAAAGAATTAATTGCGTATTTATAGTACGTGTAGGTATGCAATGAAATAATAATATTAGGTATGTTTTGTATCATGTATTTTATTATTTCTTAAAAAAAGTAATTAATTACTTTTTACCTCTTTCTCATTAATTATCAATTAGTATTTAAAACGAACGTTAATCCGGTGTACCCCATATGTAAACCCTAAGATAAGAAAATATGTGTTAGATGCAAATTAAAGTATTTAAGACCTAATTTTGATACTGAAGGATTGGGCAATAAATATGAGAAAAACGATTATACCGACTTAAAGAATGTACAGTCAACACATTATGGAATGTACAGTCAAGACGTTATGGACTGTAATTGGTATTTTATTTATAATTGAATAAATGAGTTAAAATATTACAAAAATTTTCTGACCGAATACCTCTCGGTCAATGATAAATACTCATAATTTTTTTTCAAATACTTCAAGCACGTTTCTCAAAGTAACTTCCCTCCGCCTACCAAGCAACGTGCTTTCGATAAGTAAAAAAAAATATTTAGAATTATCGCTGTCCCTAGGTAATTTCTACTGAAAATTATCCACCCTAAATAATTTTAAGGGTGAGGTTTTAATGCAGATGAACAAAAAATATGAGTCAAAAATCATATAAAGTGGGACGTCTTTTTGCTAACGTATACCTCGTTGTAACTTTAACCGTCTCCTCTTCATGGCCACCCCAATGTTTTTCTCAATGGAACACTCTGTATATTATTGCATTTTTCTACACTCCTCTAATATTCGATACCAAAAATATATACCTGAGGTATCTGTATCTGTAACGTGTGGAGGGTGGGTTACCCCCACGGTACTTAGGCCTCATTAGGCCCATTGTGCATCCTCCTGGGATGATAAGCACCTCCTAGCTCGTGAGCCAATCTATAGATTTAATGTAGTTGACAACGTCGTCAAGAGGTGCTTCTCTTATATCGGCCGGTGTTAGCCGATACTCGCCGAACACAAATCTTCTAATGAATGAGAGCGTCGAACAATCGTAAAGGATATGCTCGATGGTCTCATCTTCTTGTTCGCACCCTCTGCTGAGTGCGGATTCTGGCAGCCCCATGATATGAAGATGCTTTCGTACTTGGCAATGACCAGTCAGAATGCCTGTGACTAGGAGTAGATTCTGTCTAGTCATAGTGAAGTATTTGTTTGCTGCAGTGTTGTCAGGATAACTTAAGAGCTCCCTGGCAACTCTGCAGTTTCTTTGTTTCATCTCATCTTTCCTTGAATTTCACAAGGGAATGTTTTTTGATTAGGTCTGCCACTACCGATTTTGTCAGGACAATAGAAGGGCCAGGTCCAAAAAGTATTTGGTTGGCTGCTTTCTTTGTTAGTGAATCAGCAAGACGGTTACCTTTCGATGTGGCGTGACCTTTGATCCATCTTAAGGTGACCACATTGTTGATGGATACTTCGGCCAAAGTTTCGTGACATTCTAGTACTAACCCGTTAGCTCTGTCACTATTGCTCACGGCCCATTTTATGTTTAGGTTTAAAAATCTGGAGTATATTCCACATCCTGAGCCTTGTTTTGTTTTAGAACCGTCGGTGTAGATATGAATCGTACCTGCCACTTCCGGCTCTTCTATTAGTTCTATTATAACTTTATATGGCTAATGGAATATATATCTCGGTGAAATGGAGTCCATGTTCTCTTGAAGCAGTGGGATCGTATCGAGCGCCTCCTGCCAAAAGCGACGTCTCGCTTCACCAGATCCTACATCAGGTTCTATTCCAACCGTGCGGAGGCGTGTCATTGTCGTCAGAGCAACCTCCTTGATGTAAATATCAAGGGGAGTGAGACTAAGAATGACTTCCATGGCTCTGGTCGGTGTTGTTTTCATAGCTCCTGTTATGTTGAGACATGCTGTTCTTTGAATTTGTTCTAGTTCACGGTACCCAGACAACTGCATCGTATATAAGCATAGATCTTATGATAGCCGTGTAAGTCCATGCGACGACTCTAGGGAAGAAACCCCAGGTGCGCCCCACGGTTCGGCGGCATTGTTCATAAGCAATGTATGCTCTTTTTACTCTTGTTTTCTAAATGCGAGTTCCATGTTAACTTGCTGTCAAATGTAAGACCTAGGTAATTCACCTCTGTTGCAAAGTTTAGTTTTGTGTTTAGGAGTTCTGGAGGTTTTAACTCCATTTTCATCCTTTTCCTTGTGAAAAGGACCATTTCTATCTTAGGATTGATAGACAGTGAATGGTCCTAGCACCACTGTTCGATAATTTTTAGAGCTTCTTGCACTCTTTCGCAGAATATGTTCTCAAAATTTACTGTTTGCAGAATGACCAGGTCATTTGCATATGCTATTGTGTAGTGACTGTCATTATTGAGGTGGCTGATGAGGGTGTCGAGGACCATATTTCACAGTAGAGGTGATAGCACCCCTCCCTACGGACATCCCTTCGCAACCAAACCTCTTATATTCACATCTTCTACACTTTATTTACTGCTCGCTTTGAGAGCATATATCCACCCACTAACCATTTGTGGAACATTGCTGTTAGTGAGTGTATTATCTTTGGGAAGGTGGTTTTATCAAAAGCATCTTATATGTCTGTGAAAACACCCAAGGCGGACTCCTTAATGTCCAGAGATCTTTCTATCCGACCAGCAACTAGATGAAGGGCTGCATCAGTAGATCTGCCTGGGGTGCATGCATGTTGGTTTGGGTGTAATGGTGTTGTTGTAATCACCGCATCCCTTATGTACCTTTCGCATAGCCCTTCCAATGTCTTCATGGAAAACGATATCAGACTAATTGGTCAATATGTTTTTGGGACAGTGTAATCCTTCCTTCCAGGTTTGGGTATAAATACCACTTTTACCTCTCTCCATTTTTTGGGGATATATCTCAGAGCCAACGAGGATCTGAATATATCTGTCAGATGCGGTGTGAGTTCTTCCAGACCCCACTGAAGTAGGGCTGAATAGATACCGTCAGATCCTGGCGACTTAAATGGAGAGAAGTTGGATATTGCCCACCTAATTTTTTCATCGTCTACAATGTATTTGGCAGTTTGCCAATCATAGATGGATTTTATTCTTCCTCTGCCCAGTCCGCCACGTCTGTAATGACCGAGTCAGGGAAGTGTGTTGACAACAGAAGTTTGATGCTATCTTCGAGGTTGGCAGTTTTCGTGCAATCCTCTTTGACTAGCGCACCAAATCTTCGATTTCTTCGCAGTAGGATCTCCATGCATCTCTCTGTTTTTGTCTGACACTTTTTTTGTATTCTCTGAGGTAAGATTTGTAAGTATCCCAATCCTCTTTGAATTTTGTGGTTCTTGTCTTATTACAAGATTTCCTAGCCATCTTCCTGAGGTGATCCAACTCGTGACACCACCATGTGGTAGTTGTCTGATCGTGTTGGAACAGCCTCAGAGGACAGAATTTCTTATAGGCATTGTTTATTGTGCTTTGGATAGTGTTCGTGTACTTTTCCAAAGCAGCCTGTTTCGGCCTCCATCTCTCTCAGAGCCTCTTGGAGAAGATGGCTATATGTTGCCCTGTCCGTCTGCCTAGGGTTCCGAGATAGCGTGGAGGTCGGCAACATCAAGTTTATTTTGAATGTTAACCAGAGGTGGTCTGACATCGAAATGTTATCAGACACTTGTCATATACCTGAGGTGTAAAGTGATTTATTTGGAAGTAACAGACAATGATTTCAATTTAATAACAGAAATGGTTAAATTCTCAACAAATTAATAGAATTGTTATCATAACAATAACAAATTATTTTATTAGGTGTTGCAAACTGACTTCCATAGGTTTTCATGCAATTATTCAATATTTTTTGTACTTTCTTAAGATAACCTCAATAAAATTATTTAAGATGGATAGTTTCCATTCAAATTTCCTGTATGGTTGATTAAGAACAACATACCATGATATTTAGACCTCAAACAAGTAAGACTACTAATAATCCTAGCCCTATCCGACGATTTCTTCACTCCCAACTCCTTGATATCCTGCTCAGACAGCTCCAGCAGATCTTCCACACCTTGAAACTTCTGGAAAAGGGGCCGGTACTCCTCCAAGTCGAGCTCGATGAGCCAAACTGATACATCTTTGTGTTTTTTTGGTGGTTGTAGTTGATTTTCCTTCTTTAATCGGTGCTTACTCGAGCGGAGAGGGAGGGAGCCGAATTTGCTCCACGATAAACCTGCAAAAAAATCATTTATTTTATTAAAGGTTATTGAGGTGATATTGAAAACCCTTTAAATTATAGACCAATATATTTTCCCCATATTTTTCGAAATTATGAAAAGATTAGTTAAAGTAAGAATGTCTACAGGGTGAGTCATAAGTAATGAGTCAAATTGTAACTGTAGATTGTAACCAACACCGAACACCTAGTGTTTAATTGTCAGGGATGATTCTGCAATTAAAATATTATAAGGAACTAAGCAGGACCGGTGAATTTGTAATCAGCCTTGAGAGGGAAATGTGTTGTACATAATTCAAACACTGACTAATGTCACATTGTTTATTCAACTATTAGAAAACGGAGAATACAACTTATTTACATATTTTAAAGTAAAAAAACATCGACCCCGAAACTAGTCCCTTGTTGTAGGCTCGAAAGTATAGTCTGTCTAACGAGATCTGTGTTGGGGCATTGTTGCATGATTGCCGATAAACGAGAATGAAACGACGTGTATTTTGTTCGAGGTTTAAGCATGGAGTCTTGAACGAAACATGTCAACAGTTGAGAGGTTGGGAGCGGAGTCCGTAGGAAAAAGAACTGCAATATGAGAGATGAATATATAAAGGAGTGGTTTGGTTAATATTCGTACTGGCTACGTGATGTTTCACACGCTTTGAAGTCAATATATTTAGCTTGTATTATATTTATATATTTTTAATGGATCACTCTTCATTTAATTTTTAGAAAGTTTTACAATGTTGGTTGAGTATGTTTAGTCAAAAAAAAAAATCCTCATATATTTTGTAACGAATCGGCACTAGCACAAATGTATACGTTGGTTTTTGGACATCATACCGGAGAGCGTTTAACCATTAACGACGTGAAATGAATGACAGTGTATGAGGAAGTGAATTGGTAAATGAAAAAATAGTAGGACGTTCAAATAGTGATAAATACAAAACAACTCAGTGTCGCCACGCTATCGACGGATTTGGGTAATAGCACGCGGGGCCCGAAAGGTGTAAAAATAATAATAAAAAAACACTCTGTAAAATATTCTTATTTATTAAATAAATAAATATACTTGATCAATACATTATTAATATGTTCATAATTGAAACTAAAGTCAAGCAAAATTTTAAAAAATCTGCATTGTTATTGATAAAAGTATATTTTAAATTGTTAAAACAATAAAGAAAAGTAGAGCCGTACTCAGATTTTTTTTCGGAGAAGCTCATACCTGACAGTTTCAACGAAAACATTAGCAAAACTTTTTAAGTGTAGAATAAAATCATTTCTTAAAATTATCGATAGAAATATATTATTATCTACCAAAGAATGTGGTAGATAGTTGTAGTTAGCATGGGTGTCGTTTGGGGGGGGGGCAAGGGGGCAGTTGTTCCCCCTGGCCTTTACGACTAGTTGACAAAAACCAAATGCAGCAATGCTACTAAAAGCTACGAAAAAACACAATAAAACCTACAAAATCAAACAGAAGCGAAATTTGTCCAAGGCGATAGTGCAAAGTTGTCGCTAACCAAAAACAAAATGGTGTAGAAAAGGCCGTTGTGTCAAATTTTTCTGAGAAAAACTTCTGCGCAACTTTTCAACGCATTTTTAATACTAAATTTAGTAAAAAATTAAACAAGTTCCATTTTTTAGTACTAAATTTGCTGTTTGCACCGTGAATTTTTTTAGTACTTAAAAACTGCATTAATTTAGTTTTAAATTTAGTACTTCATTTAGTATTGTAACATACAGTCTTAATATATGAATTACTGATATTTCGTTAGGTAGGTACTATGTGCAACAGTTTGACAACGCTGTATACAGTAAAATTACGTAACTAACACAATTACACAACTGGCACTGGCTCATATTGTCGATTGTCGCCGTGGACGCATAACAGTAAACACAAGGCATAATTTGTTAGGTAGCATTTAAATTGATTAAATTGTTTAAGGAAATAGAAGAAATAGGTAAACATGACAGATGTAGAAATCTAAATGCTACGAATTACGGACAACAAGCTCATAAATATAATATTCAGGCTAATACAGTTGACAAATATTATAGGTTGAATATATTTATTCCATATCCATATCTTACACGTACCTATACATTTTACTTTTTTTTTAAGTAAGTAATGTTAAAATACCCTTATCTATTATAGTTGGCAACTATGTCTGAATTAATTTTTTCACTTGTTTTACAAATCCATATACTTTTATTAAAATCAACATATATATTTTTTTTTAATTAGGAATTCCATTAAAAATTATATTTTCAGTATACGCAAATATCGTCTGTTAGTTCATGAATTAGTTTGCACTGCTGTCACACACAGAGCGAATAATGAATGAAAATAGGCTGTCTGTGCTTTGCATGATGAGCGTACATCGAAAAATAATCGCAAATAACTAAAAAGATATCATGTTTTCTGTTATCGATTATTTTAGGTACAATATGAAGAAGAAATTAAAAATTTTCGTTTTCCTAGTGTTCGTCGACGTGTTTAAGTGAGTTTTTTTTGTTTTTGTGTTTCTATAAATTTTAATATTATTGATGGCTCTGTCTTCTTCTTCATATTTTTTTTTTATTTTATACCTTCTGTTTGTTTATTAAAAATATGTGTTTTAAGTTTCTTGTTTTTTTTTATTTTAGTTTTTGTCTTTTTTGTTGGTTTATTTTATTTATTAGAAACTTTTGTTAATTTGTATTGCTCTTTTATTTTTCATTTTCTTTTTTTTTTCAACAAATAAACATTCTAAATTTTTTCAAAATTTTGCCCCTCCCTATAGAATTGTGTAACGATGCCCATGGTAGTTAGGTTAAAAATATTCTAATTAAATTAAAAAATTCATTAAAAAAAAACAGAAAGAAACATTACCTTATATAATTTATATTTACATATAATGCTGCTCAAAATTGGCAAAAAAATAAATTATATAAATGTTTATTGACAATTATTACTATTATAACATATTATTTTTGTATTATTTTTTTGTAATTGTGTAAAAAATATATTTAGATTTAAGTAGTACAAACATTTAAAAAAAAATCTGTAAAAATCTCTAAAAACAACTTATCTGTAAATGAACAATATTATTATTAAAATTAAAAAAAAAATGTTTTCGGAAAACTCACTTACAGAACTAATATTTTGGAAATTGTTTTAATATAATATTATTAGACAAATATTAATTATCAATAAATATTAATTATCAATAAATATTAATTATCAATAAATATCTTAGTCATAATGTTATTTAGTTGTTATCCGGAAAAAAAATCAATATTACAGTTATCACAATTATTTAAAAAATATATCAATAATTCAATAGGTATTACGTCTATTCAAACAATAATTTTATTACATTTCTAATATTCTGAGAAATTAGCAACTGTTTGGTTTAGAACATGAAATCCTATCTTATAGAATCATTTATCTTATCTATATGCAACATTTGCAATATTTCCTCACCTGACCCATCCCACTAATAAAAAAATCTATTAGTATAAACAATAATTAAACTTTCATTACTCACTCAAAACTCTAGAATTTCCTGTTGATAAAATATAATTCGACATTATCAATCATAAGATGTCAATTTCAAATAAACTTGCACATACTCGTATTTTGAAGAACGTTCGATCATGACCCACGTAAATTTAAAAACATATATTTTTATATGCACTAACTTTGTTTACCAGGCTTTTTTTTCAAACAAATGTTATAATAATTACGAATACACCTACTAGGTGCCGATATTCAATTGTTTATGTATACGTTTCGCCGTATTAATGATCTGAATAATGTTTGATCAAGCTATCGAGTTGGGTATAGATAAATTATACTTACTACCTACGACGCACTGAAAAGTTTTAGTCATTTGGAAAATATGTATTATCGAACTATTGAATGAATAATAAAGAAAAGTAATTACAGGTCATTGTCATTAAAATAAGATATATTTCTGGAAACCCAGACAGCACACGACATCTTAAAGACGTCTGTTTTATGTCGTAGTTATGACTGAACGCCTAACGACCTAAAAAAGACGTTGTAAAGACGTCTTTATAAAGACGTCTTTTAGGACACATAAACAGACGTCTTAAAGACGTCTTTTGAATGCCTATCTATTTAAAAAATATAAAAAATAATGGTAACTTTAAAAAAGTATTGGCTTACTTGTCGTTTTAATTTCACAAAATATAATTTTTTTTTTTTTTAATTTTTTTTATTAATTTACATAATTTACTTATTTTTTTTATTTATTCACGAGCATTTGTTCATTAGAGTAAGTAAATATTTGATAACATAAAAATAATAATTATAACTCTAAATAAAATTAACAATTAAAACATAAGACAAATTGAATTACGCGCTCTTTTACCTTGACCGGAACATGGTTCAATGATCGAAGCGAATGTTTTTATTATGCTTTGTCTTTTTTCAACAGTAGAATTTAAACAAGGACGTGTATCTGAATGTTAGTATTATTGGGGTTCCGTGGTTCGTGGCGATCTGAGTTGTCCTTTCGTTGTCATTTGTCGTTGATGTTGAAGATGAAAGCCGAGAGGTTAGTTTTGTTGGTTATGTTATTCATTGATTTTTTATTTGTGTCTTGTGCCGTGGATTACTGTGAATTTATAAGCATAAAAGTTTACTGCATATACTGAAAAACCAAATAGAAGAACCCTTATTAGTGTTTTAAGTACGTCTAGGCGTCTAGAGCTGACTTAGAAGCTTCATCGGATGTAAATATATCTGAATTAAGAGTTGAAAGTACAGGAAGATTGCCATTTTTTGACCACCCTTAACCCACACTATCTACTGAAAATCCTATTAAAGCGAATTTGACAGAGTGAGCTATAATGCATAATATTTTACACAGCGCAGTTAAAATTATTGCAACCCAGACTGACTCAGAAGAGCACCCTACAGAAGATTAACCACTAATGGAGGAAGAATAAAAAAAAAATTTGTAATATTACTTTTTTTAACGAAATGT